AAAAGCTTCGTGCGCCAAATGGTTGGCGATAGCAACGATGAGTCGATTGGTGCCTTTCCGAAGACCACCATACGTTGAAAAAGCAGCAGTAAGGAGGGTAGATCTACACGGGTTGAAAGTTCCCGCATAGTGATTTGCCTTACTTGCAGCTCGATCTTCGAGGGCNGAGTTCCTCTTCCTTCTCTTCTGCGTGTAATCCTGGGGAGATTACTATATCCATCTTGTATAGCCTCTTTCCCCTTCCAGTACCTGTGGTAAAAGGGGAAGAATCCTCAATAGCGATGGGCATATGGCACTCGCGCAGTGTCTTGAGGATCACCCGAACCATCCTACTATGGAGGAAGGTTGAGGCGCCGGTCTTGGTGCAGAAGAGATAGTGGGCTCGGCTCAAGCGGTCCTTGCATGGTAGCAACGCACCTGCACCACAAAGTTTGCCTGTGTCGCAGTCTGCTCGATCGTGACTCCCGATATAGATCAGGCAGCATTCTTTTATCTGCTGACAGCCCTTGCGTTGTCAACCACGACAATACTCACTTGCCTTTCGCTTCCTCCAAGCGGATCAATGCCCCCTTCTTTGACGTTTCCTCGCCTGCTACCTTTTGCGAGTCTGTCTCCACCATATGGCGCACTGCTGCATGAAAAGGATTCGAGAGGAAAGCTTGGCCCCCAAAGAGTTGGTAATGTTGACCAAATTCATTTCGGCTGTAGGTAGACAGTGGTTGATGTTCCACGTCAGAGTTTCCATCTTCACTGGGTTTTCCCGCCTTCCCTGCTTCCAACAGTGTGTGTGTTTTTATTGTTAGCATCGACAACGCTAACCGGCTGACCATTGAAAAGACGTCAGTGCCAGCGGGTGTGTGTGTGTGTGTGTGCGACCTATTCTGGCGCTAGTTTTCACGCGTTGCGGTGTCTGAAGGTAGGTCACACAGACACGAGGTTTTTATTCGTAGTTTGTTTTGTTTTGTGCCCCACCTTTCCCCCTGCAGCGCGTGCCCTGCGATAGTTTTTATCGCGAGGAGGGGTCAGCAATCCCTTTCCCTCGTCGACCGTGAAGCTCAAGTGTGAAACGAACGACCTGTTACAAATAGATCGCTATCTACGATCTAAGGATTCCTGGAAATACATTCTGCGAGAGGAAACGAAACCCTCCGCAGAGAGGATCGTGTACCTGCCGCTAGGGAGTGAAACATTACATAATAAATATTGGCGTCCCGTTTCTGCGCGGGGGTACAGACTGTGGTAGGGAGGTGCCGAGGGGCTCGGTACTTGTTTCTACATGGTATGCATCCGAGCAAAGCGTGTGGTAGAGAACAAGTGACGGAAGAAAGTGGTTGTGTTCTTGTTTTTGTTTGCACCTCGCTTCCTGCCGTTTTGGCGTGGACCTGTGTGCTTTGGATGATGAGACGATGCGGCGCACATCACTCATGCAACAACTAAAACAACCGCACTCAGGGGAACGCCTGTGAAACAGAAAGTATTCTCTCTACAGGACCGGGTCAGGGCAGGAACAATGTCGTCTCACGTGTCCCCCTGTGCGCGCAATCAACGGTCCGATGCACTACGGTAGAAGGAACCAAGAATACGTGCCCCCTCCTCCCCCCCCCCCCGCCAGTGTCTACCGGAAGCCGCTTTTAGTCGTCACTACTGCGACCACAACGAACGGCAACCAACCCCCCCCCCCCCCCCCCC